GTTTGACAGTCTGTTCAAGGCTGCTCTGCCTCTGTATCTATTTTTGTTCATCAGTTTATAATGGTCTTTATTATCCATAAATGAGTGAGATCATGTGGTATTTGTCTTTCATTGACTGGTTTATTTCACTCAGCATAATGCTCTCCAGTACCATCCATGCTGTTGCAAATGGAAGGCGAACTTCTTCATGTCCTTGCAGAAGTGGCACTTGCCGCACTCGGGCCACAGGCAGGCCTCGTCCCGCACCGGCGAGCTCCCTCTGTGGCCAGGTTGGCGGCCAACTTCACCGCGGAGGCGGGGCCCAGCTTCCCTTTGGGCCTCCCGATGGCCCGGTTCTGGTCGGGCTCCGATTCATAGTTGTCGTCCTCGGCGCTCACGGACATGGCCTTGGCTCATGGTGGGCCCAGGCTCGCGATCACTGACATGGCTCGGGCTCTCGAGGGAGCTGCGCCGCCCGCCTCCACTATACATTTTTTTTAAAAAACCAGGATAGTTAAATATTTTATTAATCTTACAACATCATTTTTTAAAACTATATTTCTTTATTGATTTCAGAGAGGAAGGAAGAGGGAGAGAGAGATAGAAACATCCACGATGAGAGAGAATCATGGATGGGCTGCCTCCTGCACGCCCCCTACTGGGGATCGAGCCCGCAACCCACGCATGCGCCCTTGGCTGGAATGGAACCTGGGACCCTTCAGTCCGCAGGCCGACGCTCTATCCACTGAGCCAAACTGGCTAGGGCACTTATGACATCATTTGAAATGTTACTTCTGTTACACTTCTGAAAGACCAAGGTTCAACAATGAAAGCATGTCACTCTCCTGGAAAGGTAGATCATTACAGAATGGCTTGCATTTGAAGTTTTGAAGACTCATTGTATGCGGGGAGGGTTAGGGTGAGCTCATGCTTGGCAACTGGGCTTGGGAAATACTCCGAGCATGCTATTTCCTCCATCTCATGACAATTCCAAAATGCTTATTCACAGAGACCAAGAAACCACAGCTGTGGGAAATGGAGATAGCATGCATGCGTTTTATGCTTTTAACACGGGGCGGGAGAAGCAGGAGTGTTACAAAGAATGGCAATAGCACTGATGACTCTAGCATATCTCAGAAGGAGCCCTGGCCCAGTCATTAAGCCCTTTTGATTCGGGATACTTGACTTAACTGAAGTCATTTCATTCTCTATGAATGAGATAAACTGAAAGTAGGGTCAGGAGTTCAGGATACAAATCCACTGGGGGCTGTTCACAGAAATCATGTCCTGTTTCCAGAGGCGAGGATTCCTTGACTTTTAT